CAGCCAGGAGTTTCCTGGCAAACGCCCCCACCAAGGGCCTGTGGATGCCTCTGGGAAAGGAAGTGAAGGTGATGCAGTGTGAGTACAGTTACAGTTCAGTAAGATTGTACACAGAGAAACGTTCTGCCCACAGTTGTATCTACAAAGATTCCATCCCTAACGGAGTTTTGCACAAACCATTATGGAAACTAGTTATAGATAGAAGTGAGGAGTGGGTGTCGGGGTGAAGCTCACCTTCAGCATCACACTTCTGTAAAAGTGGAGGAAATCCATTCACCTTTGATATGTGTTATTTAATAGGACAGTGCAGGGGGGGGGCCTAAGTCTCTTCTACAGTTTTATTTGAGCTTGTCTTCTGATTGCAACATTTGTTTAGTCCTTAAATTCCTTTTGATAGTTTTGTATTAATTTTTCATTTGTTTCTGGTGCTTTTTCTTCAGTAAAGCATGTGTCTACGTGTGTTTAGACAAGTACTGCACAGCACACATGTCTACAAATTCTGGAAAATGTTTTACTTGGCTGGAAAGTTTGTAGATTCAAAGTCTTAAATGATTTTGATTACAGTTACACAAATGGACCCCAGCTAAAAGTCAATACTAGAACTTGAAATTGTATCTGTTTTTTTTTTTGTAAATAACTTAAACTGTTATAATTGGTGTCTTCTGACAAGATCAGTTTCTTTTCTCATATTATTTCAATTATGCTTTAATTGGCACTGAACAATCTCTTGTGATATATTATGGAATTACTCTGTGTATAAATAAAGTTTATTATTGGTTGTAGGGGTTACAGCAGCATTTATAGTTCAAGAACTGTAGGTGGGAGTAAACCTCCACCCTGAGTGGGCAGCAATGTAACTTGAAGTTTAACGCTATGTCCTTTGTGTTTTTCCTCCAAACACAAATGGACTAGAGATTGATAATGGCGTTGTTGAGATTACCTTCTGTCCTTTTGGCCAGACAAAGACTGTCATTATATTCAGTGTCCATCCATTCATTTGTCCCACTCATTTTCATGCTGCGTGAACAGACAGGGGCTTCAGCACCTACATACATTCACAAAGGGCTTGTTCACAAGTTGGCATTTGTTCTGCAAAATCTGTGTGTGACTTGCTCCTTATAATGTGTTTTTTTTTTTTTTTTGTGAGAAAATGTCTAGAGATGTCATCCTGTTTAAAGGAACGGACAGATTTCGCTGTGAATAGCTTGGGCATAAAAGAACGGGGTAAACAATTTTGTGCAGAATTTGAGTGGTCTCACTTTATAAACACTCCCAAGCTATTTGTGGTAGGTACACAGCAACATAAAGTGTAGCACATTAATAAAACAGTGTGAAGCTGGTGTAGGTTATTCACTTCTTTCCTGTGAAGAAGTGAAGGATGCTGGAATGCTGTGTCTTTGATAATGAAGTGTTCCATTTTGCAACTGATTTTTTTGAGTGTAAGACTCCACATTGCTTTTATTGAAAATTTTAATTCTCAAAAATAAAAGCGTGTTTTTTTTTTTGTTTTTTTTTAATCTATACTCAAATGTGTTTCCGTGAGCTTGTACACTTGATTTGAAGAAAGGAGTATAGATAGAAACTACAGTGAATAAAAACCCTAAAAAAAAAGAATCTAGTGTGCCAAAACTCAAGTTTCCCCTACTGGCTGTTCCCAGAACGAGCTAGTAAGGTCCACTTAGCCCATTTTTAATAAATTGTAGCTGAACTGTTGGTCATCCATATTTCTCCAGCAGACACTCTGATATTTGTCTCCTTTTTTTCTCAGGTTGGAGGTGCAAGCGCTACGGCCACAGAACAGGAGACAGGGAGTGTCCTTTCTTCATCAAAGGCAACCAGAAACTGGAGCAGTTCAGAGTGGTGCGTTTGTTCTCTGTGTCTCAAAATTGTCTTGTAGTTATTTAGGGAAGGGTTGGGTTGTGGCAAGGTCAGCTGTGACTGAGACAAAAGTTTGTGTCCGAGACCTGGGTGGAGGTTAATGACGGGGTTGGGAGGGTTTAGTTTCCACTGAGGAGCATATGGGTGGCAGGCTTCTTCACCAAGCCTTAAAGTGTGTGCCTGTAGTGAAACAATAGCTCCTGCAGCAACACACAGCCTCTGCAGTGATTACCATAAATGCAACAGTGTCATATTTTCCTACCTCGTATTGTCAAAGGGAGACTTTTAAAAGTGCTAACATCACAATAAAATCAGTACAATGGTTGGAATGT